GCCATAAAAACAAAGGAAAGACGTTCGTGTTTATGGTTCCAGAATTTAGCCTTTTTTGCTATTCTGTGGCTGCTTGTTCCGTGAATTTTTCACGTAGAGCTGTGACACTTACATTGTTGGAAAGAGCAGAGTCTAGGCTTTAAATTGATGGGCTACTTGTATGGTTTGGATCGTTTTCCCCGACGTTAGTGAACTGAAAACGTAATGATTATCAGGCGGAGTTTCTGCTGCTCTCTGTGCTCGGGGGGGCTCGAGCCGAGCTCGTCACTTGGCTTTAGTCTACGCTGTAATATACTCTCTAACAAGTTTTTACTTTTGCATAAAACTCATGACAAAGTCGCATAAAAACATTTCATATAACACAAACGTGTGCGCACATACACCTACCTTTGTACCGGCTGCTGTGTTAGCTTCCTCCTAGCTGTCCTCTGGAGGTGGTCTTTTCTCTCTCCGTCTTGGCAGTAAAAGGGGAGAAATGTACATTTCTCTTTTGTAACCTCCATCTTCTCATTTCTGATTCTGGCTCTTGAATATCCTCAGGTTAGAAATGCCGATTACAAATGCAAGCGTGAGCTTTTAAAGATAAGTTTTCCTGTATTGCTATAGATCCATTGCTGTCACTTCCTCATCAAAAGGAAAATGGAGAAAAACTAACTACTCGATCGTATCTGCTTCTTAGTGGACACAACGGCACACAACAGAACTCACGTTTTATACCAGTAGATCACAGATGCTTTAACTTTTGTGACTTTTTCATGGACTAGTACTAGCAGCTAACGCTAAAAACATAGGCAGTAAGCAGGGAGTGGAAGAGAGGAGCGTGGCAAGAATTTTACCGGAAATACGTCATTAATTACCGTGGCATATAGGCTATTATTACATATTTAAAAAGCATCTTAAACAGTCTCTTAAAAGTTCCCAGTCATGTACTCACTGAATAATTTTATTGTTGTAATGCCATTTGTCTGAACATGCGTCTATGTTTTGCTTGGTATTGTATATTGTGATCTTGTGTTGTGTTGTTTTCCTGAATACCTTGTGTTGTTTTGTCTTCCTGCCTCAAGACTACAGATGTAAATTAGCAACCATGCTATTATCTGGCTCATTTAGCCTATACGGAAGTATAAGATTGCTCATTAATGTGCACTGTCCTGATTAAAAAATACTTAAAATAAAATAAATAAATCTTTGGCCTAAATTAAGCTTGTCACTGGTGCCAACTGCAGAGTCCCATAACCATCAGACAGCATCTATGAGAAAAGGGTTTCAAACACAGAAAACATCTTCAAATACCTTGTCTCAGGGGAGGAGTGGGGAAACTTCTCAGCCTGGGAGTTAAATGGCCAAGACTGGTACAATTTTTGTACATATAAAAAATTAGACAAAGATGTAGCACTGGCATGTAATGTTTTTGTATTTTGTATTCACAGATCTAAACCTGCCTCTTCACATTCATCAACAACAAAGTAGATGTTTCTACTGCGGTGCAATAATGTGTACTCAATCACACCATACAGTTGTGGTCAAAAGTTTACATACACTTGTAAAAAAACATAATGTTATGGCTGTCTTGAGTTTTCAATAAGTTCTACAACTCTTAGTTTTCTGTGATAGAGTGATCGGAACACATACATGTTTGTCACAAAAAACAGTCATAAAATTTGGTTCTTTCATATATTTATTATGGGTCTGCTGAAAATGTCACCAAATCTGCTGGGTTAAAAATATACTGTACATACAGCAACATTAGTATGTGGTTACATGTCCCTTGACCATTTTCACGGCAACTAGGCGCT